TGAGAGGGAGACTAAGTGCATGTGACAGATCTTCTGCAATCAAAATGCCCCATTTCCCAGAGTAGCTGTCACAGATTGATAACATCCATGCAAAAAGTTAAGTACAATTATGTCTGTCACTGAGAAACAGACTTTGGGACCTGTGACTGACAACTCACTAGAAGCTGACAAATCACCGGAGATCAGGGGGATGCCTCAGAGGGGCGCCAGGCCACCTTCTGAGGGACACGCGGGAGGGGCCTGGGGAAGCTACACCTCAGACGGCGGTGGGCCCTGCCGCTGGGAAGTGAGCCATGTGCCTTGTGGTCTAATGGGAAATGAGCCCTTTCTCCCGGGGAAGGACGGTGTCAGAGGAGGGTCACAGGACGTGGCTATGGCCCAGCAGCTGTGGGCAGTGGCTTCTCCTTCAAGACTATGGTATGGACAACTGGACACCCCAGGTAGACAGGAAGGGAGTGCGGCTCCTGGAACCAACATTCCAGATTTCCTAGGGCAGCCCCTGCTGAAAGGCCGCATCTACACGAAACATCCTGCGGCCTCCAGCAGGCTGGGGCCCAGGTACTTATTTCAGACGGACACTGAGAGGGGACAAAACAGCACTTGTCAGCTCACACATGCCCACGCCAGCTCAGACTCGGTGTGGGCACCGCCAGGGGGCCTGTATCTTCCAAGGCCTCTGTGTTTCCATCTGAGGCTGGTGCCACAGCAGCCTCTTTGCCATGATCCAGGCCTCCTCCACCGCCAGCAGTTCTGAGAACAGAAGGCAGTCACTGAGGCACGTGAGCAGGCCTCAGAGGCCATGGCCCTCTATGCCTTCCCTGCCCACTGCAGGTCCCCAGGTCACCCTTGCCAAGGACTCTGCTGAACCTGAATTTCTCAGGGAAGACAGTAGCTTTTTGTGCTACAGGAGATTGAACCCAGGGCTTCTTCACTGAGATACATCCTTGGGCTTTTTTTTTTTTTTTTTACTTTGAGACAGGCTCTTGCTAAGTTACAAGTCACTGAGCTGAGCTTGAACTGTCCATCTTCCTGCCTCAGCCTCCCAGAGTGCAGGATTACAGGGATTCGCCACCACTCAGCAAAGACAGTACATTTCTTAAATAAAGCTTAAGAAGTATGATTACTCCAATGCCAGCAAAGGCCTGAAACACATGAATGCTGTCTAACCACCTAGGCAGAACCCCTGGCAGCTTCACTGACACCACAGGATTTCTAAGCTTAAGAAGTATGATTACTCCAATGCCAGCAAAGGCCTGAAACACATGAATGCTGTCTAACCACCTAGGCAGAACCCCTGGCAGCTTCTCTGACACCACAGGATTTACATCTTTGGTTAGTTTTATTTACCAGTTTTTGAAAATGTCGAGTCCAAAGACAGCTCCTTACAACTTTAGCCCTCCTGATCCAGCAGTGGGGGTTCTGGTGGCTCCCGGAAGCCTTCTCCCTCCCGTCCCACCCCAAAACACTTCCACTCTCCTTGACATACTGACCACTAGGCCCCCCGAGCTGGCCACCTGTCAGGTCATAGCTCTGCCCTGTACTGAGGCAGCTGTTCCCTGGTGCTGCGCAGTAGTGATGCCACCTGACAGGGTGGCAGAGGAACAGACGTTGGGCAGGCGCCCGACTTCCCAGAGCAGGCTGTGTTCCACGCTCCGCAGCCTGGTGACCAGCATGTCACTCCACACACATGCTTACATGGGTCAGCTCCTGTGCCATGGACTGTGTGGCTCTCAGTGGCCCTAGTGTCCTCTCATCTTTTGTGTAGCGGCCATGAGGCTGTGCAGTACTGATTCTGTCCCTTAATTCTGCACATCGGTGCTCCCTCATGTCTCTGCGTCTTCTGCAAGTTTGGCAAGCGTGCCTCTGACGACTTTGCCAAGCTGGTGATTCTGAGGCTCAACCAGCCAGGGCAGCAGCCCACAGGGCCTCCTCCCCATCACCAGAGAACCACTTGCTTATCCATACTGGGGGCTCCTGATGCTCAATCTACCGGATCCCTCTGCCTTCTGGAGCTTTTCTAGATCTCTGTCCCAGGAGAGGCAGAACCTCCCTTCCCAGCAGTGTGGAGCTTGAGAGCCCTGCGTATGTGTCTGTAGGGGCAGGGGGGCTGCTCTGTCCAAAGGCAGAAGCTGCTTCCTCTATCCACACCCCCGTCCAAGGCAGCAGCACAGAGCAGTCGGAAAACCCTACCAAGCAGATGCTCGAGGCTGGCTCACAGCCAGGGTGGCCCAGACGAAGGGTGAGGAGATGGACACGCAGGGCCCTTGGCCAGCCCCACCCTGCTGGGCAATGCGTGTGAGCGGTGGGCAGAGGAAGGCACCCACTGCCCAGCAGAAGATGGGCTCCCTGTCTTGGGGGAAGCAGCCTGTTCTTCTTCACGCATCACCTGCCAAGTGCAAGTGTGTGTCTGGTGTGAACTGAAGACTCAGTGCACAGGGGATGGGAGCTCCACTGGCCACTTCATGGCTGATTTCTGACACAAACTCCATCAAACGTGGCATCCAGTTCACCGGAGAGAGCCAAGAGCACCCGTCTCCTCAGGGACTGGTATCTGTTTTCACCATGAGCATCATCTGCAATAAGGAGGCAGCCACACACAGGAAGCTCTTATCCCTAGGATGCGAGGTCCACCAAAAGGCCCTTTTGTCTGAAATAAAGTTGAGATGACAGCTCTCCAAAAGTGATGGCATAAAAATGGAGACACTTTTTAGCTTCTGAGAGGAATGCCCAAGCTCAGGAAGGCAGCCTGTCTGCTTGGGCCCCTCCTTCCTTTTTCCAGCTCCCAGGGTCAGCACAGAGAACCGCTGAGGCTCCTGGGGAACACACCCCTTCCCGCCACCTCCTGGTCAGTCAGTAGAGGGCGCTGCGCCACCATTCTCCAGGCGGCCTTGGCTTCCCTGATCCCTAGCCACACAAAGACCGCACTTGAAGACCTGTTTCTAACCCTGTGGTTTAATAATCCACGAGAAAACAGCACAAATCATAAACTTGCTCTAATATTCTGTGGTATCACCTATGTAAAAAGTACACAGGAAAAAGACTTGAAGGAAAATACAACAAAAGCTTATGAGCATTTGCCCACTGGAAATGGAATTTGTTTTCCTATTATTTTCTACATTCTACCAATTTCCTACAAGCCTGTGTTGCTCCCATAATTGAAAAGATCCTGCAGTGCTCAGGGATTCCAGGGTCATCTGGAGAGGCTGCAGCACAGGTCCTCATGAATACTTGCCGGGGACCAGCAGGGTGCTGAAGAGCTCCAGGGGCTGGAGCCTTCCGTGCCTGTGGAGGGCCTTGATCTTTTCCCTGGAGAGAGAAGCCTGAACTGCCTCTTCTGGGGAGTTTACAGACACCTGATGCCTCTGGAAATAAAATAATCCACTCATCGTCTCCTAAGTCTTCAATGAAAATCAAGTAAGTAGTCGGCATTTCAGTTTTTAAAAAAATCAAGATATTAGGCAGGAAAACAATACAGGAAAGAAACCCTGAGAAACCTCACAAAAGACAGAAAAAATAACCCCCAGTGAATCAGGAGCTTGTGTGGGTGTGCACGACACCTGTAAATCACAGTACAGCACAGAGGAGAGCTCAGGACAGGCAGCAGTTTTTACCTGGCAGCATTAATGTGCATTCAATGATCCTACTGCACACTGGCTGGCTTAACTCAGCCAAATTAGAATACATTTTATATTGACTATTTTGACATTTGTTTTATTTGGCAAGTAAAACAAAACTGATCCAATTTCCTTGCAGCCACTGTAAACCACAAACCGTACAACAGAGGATATAAAATATATAAGCCTCATCAACACTTTGTTCTGATAACCCGATTCCACCTGGCTCCCAACCGTGGGGTGCTCAGCCCTGTGGCCTCAGTGACAAGTGTACCTCCTTCCCTGATGAGCAGCCGCCAACTTCTGGGAGAGCACTCTGCATGCCTCACCCTGGAGAAGCAGCTCTAGCCTTACCCTACACGAGTTTAACACAGGCCCAGGTGTCCCCATTCCTGGGCCTTTCCAGATCCTGTGATAGCAACAGGGAGCAACTGTAACCACAGGTGTGGGACCCCCAGTGACTATGCAGCCTGCTCCACTCACCTACGGGGAAGCTCTGTGGTGCGTTCTCATTCACATGACGTAAATCTGCAAATGACACTGTCTCACCACTCTGGGCTGTTTGTTTACATTTGAAATCTTTTCTCAAATTCAGTGCACCAGTGCTGTTTGTTTGTGTCCCCCAACTTACTGCTCGCATTGCACGAGTTTTGTTGTTATTGTTGGTTTGGTTTTATGGAACAGGGTCTTGCTGCATAGTGCAGCCTGGCTTTGAACTCAATGTGTAGCCCTGGCTGGCCTCAAGCTCACACTGATCCTCCTCCCTCAGCTTCCCACCGTGCTGGGACTACAGGTGCGTGCCATCATGCCCACGGCACGGGTGTTTTTATATGACAGGATTCTTCTTACCACCTGCTCTTTGCAAAAAGTGTAGACTATTACTTCCTCTATTACAGCTGAAAATTAGGCAGCATGGCCAGCAGTTTGATCCACTTGTTTGTAGCTCATTGGGAAAGAAACCGTGTAAAAATGAATATGATATTAAGTACTGATCAACATGCTGAAGTCTTAAATAAGTTGCTGGCTGAGGCAGGGAAAGAATTCTGCCTACTGGGGCCAGAAATCCCAGCCATGTGGCTACCACGCAGGAATCTATGCATATCCATGAGATATTTCAAATACCAAGCCCATTTAAAGTCGCATATTCTGCTGTTTCAGGAGTCTGCAGAATATGCACAAAATAGAATATGGAATGACCTTTACACTCATGTAATGCACAGATTTCTACCTGGGTTTAAAAAATCTCCTCCCAGGCTCGAGTTGAGACTAAGCGACTACAAGTGTCATCTGTATCCCGCTCTATTTTAGCAGATCCAGAGCGTGTTCTGCAACGTGCAGTGCACACCCAAAGGCCCGTGACCACGAGACGCCACGCAGGAGCCTCACCTGGGAAGGTTGGGGGCTGGGGTGGAAGCAGCTGACGACTGTGACGGCGTCGTGGGTTGAGATGAGTCGTGATTTCTTGGCACTCTGCCCATTCGATACCAGATCCCCATGCTGTTCAGCTCCCTTTAGGAGAAAGAGAAATCTTCATGGTTCTCTTGAGCTGGGAGAATTTACATGAGCCGCAAAACAAACCAATTCATATAAGAGAGTCAAAGCCTCAAACCCTGGGGAGCCAGGTCTTGCCCAGGTAAGATGGACCAAGCCAGAGCCCAGCATGAGAGCGGCTGTGCCGACCAGGGAGGCCTTGGACAGGCCATCTCCTCCGGCCACCCGACCTGCCTCCTACTCCGGCTATATTCTCCTTGCTCTCAGCCCTCGAAACGCTTCAAGTTACCGCTTTGTTGTCTGTAGCTACGTGACGAGCCTCGGGAAGGCCTTCGTGCAGTGTGAGACAGGCAGAGATATGAAGAGACAGACACAAGAGGGTTATCCCCACTCTATCGACACCCCCATTTCAGGGTGTAGCCCCTCGGAGCCGGCGCACCACGGAGAGCCTCACTGTACAGTCAGGTCAGCTGGGGAGACAACAAACCACACAACCCCAAGCACACGGCCCACGAGCCACCACAATGCAGAGCAAACACATTACATCAGGTCTCCTGTTAGTATGACAGCAGCCATACAACCCCACACTGCAGTCAGGCTTATGAGCTAGGCACTTGAGGTCCCAAAGTTGCCTAGGCTGCACTTGAACTTGTCATCCTCCTGCCTCAGCCTCCCAGAGTGCTGGAATTCCAGGCGTGCCTTGTACAGAACTCGCACCCAGATGATTTTAGCCAACCCCAACACTGTGTCCTTGGGACCAGAAAGAAAGGAATAGCATCCCTTCAAAAAACACACAGAATGTGTTCTCCGGTAAGCTGGGAACTAATCTAAAGTGCACTTCCATCAGCTCTGACCTGTTCCCCTGGTTTCACTGAGTCATGATCCAGACTGTCAGGCTTCGGAAAAGCCCTTTCCAACTGAGGTCTCTGCACCCACACCACACCCCTGGGGGTGACCCCGTGTCCCCAGGCCGTGACCTGTGGGATGGTACCTGTTTTTAAGAATAAGTGACTTAAGGGGGCTGGGGATTTAGCTCAGTGGCACCACTCCTGCCTCACAAGTGCAAGGTCATGAGTTCAGTCCCCGGGAACTGGGGCGGGTGGGGGTGATTTAAAGAGTTGCAAGCACTGAATTATCTTTCTTTACTTAAAAATAATTTTGAAATTCTCTTCCTCTGGAAAAGAATTTTTAGTCCAGGTTAAAATGACACATTAACAATCTTTCCAAAATAATACAAAGGAGAAAATTCCAGTTTTGATGATCAACACAAATATTGGTAAAAATCTATTCTTTTATAATTGTTTAAATTGGTTGAAGTTGCATCTTTTTACAATGGCATAGTTTGCAATTAAAATATACATAGTGAGTGAAAGTGGACTTTAAGAGTTCATTACCAAATTGTTGGCCTCTACTATTTGTATGCAAGTAGCTGCTTCCAAGTTATTGAACTATAGTTAATCTCTTAACTATTTCCTACGCCTGCAATGCTGTCTGCATAATTAAACTGTGCTGCAAAACAGGATTTTTTATTTTATGGTATAGGAAGGGAATGATCACAGGGTCCTTCTGTTATTTTTCCATTTATTTCTTGGTGCATGGGACTGGACCCAGATCCTCACGTGTGTGAAGTCTGTGCTCTACTGAGCTACACACGTGCCCAGCCCCCGGGTCACTGCTGTTGTCCTCCTCCACCTTCTTTTTGTGGTACTGGGGCTTGAACTCGGGGCACTGAGCCACATCCTTAGTCCTTTTTATATACTGTTTCAATTTGGAGAGAAGGTACACGAGTAATCCCAGCACTCTGGGAGGCTGAGGCGGGAGGGTGGCAAGTTCAAGCCCAGCCAGGCAATTTAGGGACCTCCAAGTCCTTAAGAACCGTGACTCAGAGCTTTTGGCTCCCACAGCTGAAGAGTCTCATGAAACTGCAGTGTATCAGGATGACAGGAACCTCTCTCTGCGGCATTGCTCCCCACACTGCCCAGCCTCACAGGCAGGCCTCACCCACTGCCCAGTGTCTGGCTTGGGAGGAAAGGACCTTGCTTGGAGACTCAAGGGTGGCTCTCGGCTCCAACGAACAAGAGCAGAGTATAAACAGACCTGGGAGGGAGGCTGAGCTCCGGACCACCTGAGAGGGTTCCACAGTGGTGCCCCAGGGAGATCAGGTGTCAGGTGCAATTCTCTTACAGGACTGATGCAGGGAGGGGACAGGAAGCTAGGTCCTAGGCATCCTTGGAGCTCTTACCTCCAGCCACCGGAAGCCAGTATGGCCTCTAAACTATTCTCTTATGCGAGCCATAGAGTCTTCCTTTAGTTTAAACCAGTCTGGGTTGAGTTTCCTGTCACTTACAATCAAGGAGCCAAGAGTGAAATCTTGAGTCCACTGCACCAAGTATTTCTGAAGCAGTTGCAGGGCCAAGGCCTTTGCCCCATGCTGAGGCTGCCAGGGAACAGGACACGAATGGGCCCTTGCCCAGCAGTCCCCTCTTACTGGGAAGACAGACTGAAATCCTAGAACGTGGTTTCTGTGTTTCTTCCCAGAGTAGAACCTTCCAGGGTCTGCCCACGATGCCTAGAATAAAACCCAGGCAGCCACTATGCTCTAGGAGGCGCTGCCACTTTCCACAGCCCCAGTGCTTGCCCTGGCATACGCTATGCCCACCCCCTTCCCTCTGACTCTTCTGCAGGCCCAGGAGCTCTGCCCTCTCACCTCTGCGCTGAGTTCTAGGGCTTCATCCCCAGGAATGACCTAAGCACCTCCATGCAAGGCAGCAGACGAGAACAGTGTCTCTGGGACTCACCCAATGAACGTGTACTGAGGAGGTGCCTGCTTGGTCCGGCCCATGATCCGAATGTCACAGATGGCGGCTTCAGTTGAATCCCGGGGGATGAACTTAATACACAGCCTTTTCTTCCTGAAAGCCACCTCCTCTGAAGGAAGGGACAACAGAGAAGATTTGAGTCTCTGGAGATGCCAGCCTCTGCTCTCAAAACCCTGTCTTCACATGCCCCTTCCTGGTGGCAGAAGTGATGGGTTACCCTGGTCACCTGACAGAAGGGCTGGGCTCCACCCCGTCTGTCTTCCCTGGGGCTGCAATGGGCAAGCAGTGACAACAAGTGTGTCAGTCACCCCGCCCCACGTCCAGCCTGACCCTGGAACACTGGTGGAGAAGGGTTAAGGTTAGGGTCAAGGTCAGGACCCAGGAGCCCACACATCTCTGCAATAAGCCCCAGGGACAGCTTCTAGTCCCCAACCACAACAAGCACTGACACCCTGAAGGTCATTAGTTCCTCTACATGGACCTTTCTTTTTCACTTTTCATCACAGAAATCTTCAAGCATGCCACAAAAAAGGAGGGAACCCCAAAATGAATCCACACAGCTCCTGTCCCCTACTGTGAACATGGTGACAGTGGGCAGGCTGGCTCCAGGGCTCCTCCAGCCCGGCAGTTTTGCAGCATTTTCAAAACGAATCCCCAACACGGCACTGTACACCCTTATCACTGTCTCAGCAGGCATCTGTGATAGATTTTTTCCAATGTGACCACCATGCCATCATCCTTCCCAATGAAATCAACAGAAGTCCTTAATACCATGCAACAAATGGTCTACATTTGAGTTTTCTCCATTATCTCAAGATGTCACTGCATTGTTGGTTTGTGTGGATCAAGACCCCGGTGCCGCCCATGCCCTGCCTTGGGTTGTGGGGTCTTTCCGGTCCTTTTATTCTGTAATGACCTCTCCCTGCTCCCTCGTTCTTCAGGGCACCGACAGGCTGAAGAGACAGGGCCACTCCTTTCTGCCTCCCATAGTGCGACGGAGCTAAGGGCTGGCTTAGGCTCAGGCTGGCTCTTGGGGCTGACAAGCTGACAGGTGACTTGCATCCTGCCCACAGTGTCACATTTCAGAGCACTTCCTTTGCACAAGTTCCTGAAGTGTCAGCCTGGGACCTCCGTCATTGAGTTCTCCAATTACCACTCGTGGGGCCTTCGGTCCATCCCAGGGTTTCAGGATGGTGCTTTTCCACTTCTGTCATCCCTTCCGCCCCAATTAGCTGGAATTCTTCTACAGAAAAGCAACTTTCCCCATCAACTTCCTAGTTCCCTGCAGTAGGTTTATACAGGACAGAGTATGTGACTTTTTTCTCACACTTGTCTTGTCTTCACATAATGATTTGGTGCCCTTGCAACCGCCAGTGGTGACCAACGAGGTAGTTTTTGTTGTCCACTTGTGGTCTTGAACACGCTTCAAACTAATCCATGACTTGGTGGGATCAGCACTGAAGCACATTTCTGCCTTTTTTTCGGTACTGTGCCCTTGGGAGAATTACTTAGTCCCTCTGAACTTTAGTTTCGTTATTTGTAAATGGGCTTGGTGACATCCTGCCGGACGGGGACTTCAGGTGGACACAATGTGATGACACTTGATTCCTCTGGCACATAGTAAGTACTCAGAAAGAACAGCCACAGGGGATCGACCATCAGAATGACAAAGAAGCTTCGAGTACCTAATACCTGCGGGGTGTTGACCTTCAAGACCTTCTTGTTCTGTGGCAGAAAATACGAACATTTATAGCACATTTAAATCAAGGAACGAGGAGGGTGGCAGCTGTGTCAATGGGGACAGCATCAGTGTCTGATGCAACATTGGGTGGTTGCTAATTTTTGAATTTTTAAAGACTGAGACTGAAACCAGAAGTGCGGTGAGCTCTTTTCTCAGGTGTAGACGCTGAGGGAGAGAACAGGTCTGAAACCAGACACTGAACCCAAACTCCGTCCCTAATGAGGTGGGAACGGTACCTTACGGGGAGGAGTGTCCAGGGCAATCCTGTACGGTCAAAAATTATCAGACGCTCAGGTCAGCCTTGGAAAGTGGGGACAAGGGGAGACCTTCCTCCAAGTAGCCCAACACAGGTGTTTGATTTGCTTTGGCCACACTGCTCGTGGCTTCTCCGTCCCTCGGGGTAAGGGATGGAGCCACTCATTACACATGCTTAATCAGGCCTAATTTAAGTAAACATATTATACATAGTCAATAGAAGTGTGTTCAGTCACTCTAATGAACACAGAGAAAGTACACAGCACTTTACTAAAACAAACAATCTTCCCATTTTTAAGTGCTGTACGGATGGCAATAAACTGTATTTTAAATTAACCTTAGGAGTCTCCTCTTTTTGGCTGACTGTATGAAATCAGGGCCTCAGATACTCTCCCACGGCACAGAGCTGACCGTAAGGCTCTCCGGGGAGATGGCTCTGCCACCAGAATGAAGAGGTCTCCCCCATGATACATCCGTGGACCGACACAGCCAGTGCAGCCCCACACATGGCTTCCCAAACAGGACCACCGGTCCCCAGGCTGCCAGACAAGTGAGTGGGCCCAGCCAGCACTCAGCCTGGAAATGGGAGGAGCACAGAGCTCTGCAGTGCCCTCATGTAAGGACACCCCAAGTTGTCAGAAACAAACATCAATGCACATTTTAAAACTATGAAAAGCATGAGGGAAAGTGGAAAAGCAATACAAGTCTACAAGGCAACTTTAGTTGATAAGCAGATAATTCATAAGAATAAGCAAAAGTAGCCAGCAAACACTTGTGAAAATGTTCAGTCTTGCTAATAAATAATGAAATAAAAATTAAGCATAATTAAAACAGTACAACTAAATACAAATGTGAAAACCTGTGCTGGTAGGTCGATGGCTATCAGGCATGAGCCTGTATCACTAGTGGAAATGTAAACCTGCCTTTCTGGACGTCAGGTTGGCCACAGAGAGGGATAAGCTTATCTTCATGGGGGCCATGCAACAGGGAAGGCATGGTGTGAGGCAATACCTCAGATGGTTCAGAGATGAAGTAGACATAGACGATCCTCAAAGAGGGAGATAAGGAACAACAGCACGAAGAAAACATGTAACGGCTATAATGCAAGTGACCAGCAACATTATGAGGCAGGTAATGTCCCCTTGCTTGACAGACAAGGAAACTGAGGCCCAGGAGGGTGATGGAATTTACCCAAGATACCACAGTTGTAAGTGGTAGAGCCAAACAAACCCCAGGTGAGATGGACTCTAGAGTTCATGTCCCTCCAATCACGCCAATGGGCAGTCTTTCCTAACACAGGGAAAGACAGGAAATTGAGGCACTGTGATTGCACATGGCCACTTCTGTCCCTCCTTGTGACAGTGCACAACGTGTGTCAGGTGGCGGGGCCAGTCCTCGGCAGGCCTTGTTCGCTCCGGATCTTGATCCCTGAGGGCGGGGCCGGCCTCTGCGCATCCTCTTGCCTGAAGCTGGCAATGCCTGGCCCAGATTCTGTGAAGAATGGGCACTGTCTTCAAAGTAGAACCGAGGCCAGGGACTGTTTCATGCAGTGACACTCACTGATGCTCACCCTTGAAGGACACAGAGTGTGGGCAGTGCAAGAAGAGGGAAAGGCAGGGAAAATAGCAGCTCAAGTAACTGGAGTAGGAAGAGAAAGAAGTGTGAAGATAGCACAGTGAGGGCTGAGTCTGTGGAAGGCCCAGGGATGTGTTTAGTGAGCAAGGGTGGGGCAGACCGTGGAGGACCTGGTAGCCACACTTGTGGCCACACAGAAACGTGCTACATGGAAGTTATGCAAAATCAATCAATCAATCCATCCATTTATCTATAATCTCCAAACTGATCAACAGATTCAACATCGGTCCTATCAAAATCCCAGCTGGTCTCTTTGCAGAAACAGACAAGCTAATCCCAAAATTCATGTGGAGATCCAAAAGACCCAGAAGAGCCAAAATGATTCTTGAAAAAGAACAGAGCGGGAAAAGTCATACTTCCAATTTCCAAACTTGCCACAAAGCCACAATAATCAAAAATGTGTGTTGCTTACACAAGGAAAGATATATAGATAGATGGAAGAGAACTCCTAGACCAGAGATAAAACTTCCCACTTATGGGCAACTGATATTCAACAAGAATGCTGAGAGTTCAATGAGGGAAAAGAAGAGACTTTTCAACAAATGCTGCTGGGACAATAGGATATGTGAAAGGATAAAGTTGGACTCTATCTCATAAAAATTAACCAAAAAAAGGATCAAAGACATAAGTATAAAAGCTAAAACTACAAAACTCTTTAAAAACTAGGCACGAAACACAATAGATTAGGCCATGGTTTCTAATGTATGACACAAAGAACAATCAACGAAGGAAAAATGTAGGTGGAACTCTGAAGGAGTTGGAATCATGTCAATCACATAAGGGATTTCTAATTAAGATACACATATTAAAATATTCTCACAACTCAATAATAAAAAGACAACCTAGACCAGGAATGTAGCTTAGCGGCACCACACCTGCCTTGCAAGAGCAAGGTCCTGAGTTCAATCCCCAGTACCAAAAACAACAACAAAAACAACCCATTTACAAAATGAGCAAGGCATCAGAACAGGCATTTTTTCAGAGGAGATACACAAATGCCAACAGCACCGTGGCCACAGGGAAATGCAAAGCAAAACCAGAAGGTGATATCACTTCACACTCTTGAAGATCAGTAGACTCAAAATGGTGGACAGCAACACACGTTGGGAAAGACGTGGGGAAATCAAAAGTCTCCTAGCTGCTGGTGAAATGTGAAACGGTGTAGCTCCTCTGAAAAACAGTGTCACAGTCCCTCTAAAAGCAAAATATAAAGATCATACATGACCTGGAAATTCTGTGTAGTTTATCCCCCAGGGAACCAAACACACGGGTCCACGCAAAAACCTGCATGTGACTGATCACAACACCACTATTCACAGAAGCCAAAAAGTGGACAACCCAGCTATTCATCAGCTGAGTGAATAACGAAAAAATGGCACAGCCACAGAATGTTACATTATTTGTCAGTAAAAAAGAATGAAGTACTAATATATGCCACAACGTGGACCAACCTTGAAAACATTATGCTAAGTGAAAGAAACCAGACACAAAAGACTGCATATAGCACGTTTCCGTTTATGGGAAATAAAAGTGGCTGGGATAGACGTTAGTACTTTTAGGGGTGTGTGTGTGTGTGTGTGCGTCCACGGCTAAATTCTTTAATCCCCGAGTATTTACAGTGCCTTGTTTTTCCCATATGTAAAATGGGTATAATAATACCATCTCTAAAGAGAGGTTTTTCTGAAGACAACATGGTTGTCTTTATCAGGTAGCTAAACCGATTATCACAGGGGCTAGCACGCAGAAAACACAACGACATATGCCATTTATTATTATCAGCTAATAATGAAAAGCAACCCAATGTCTAAAAGTGAGGAGACCATCAAGAAAATAAAAACATACTTATCTACTTGCTTTATTAAAATAATAGTTACAGTGGGGGTCTGTGTAGATAAGGAAAGTGTGTTCAGCGTGAAATGCTAGTAAGAAAACGGCAAACAAAGGGTGGCCCAAAGCGGACCAACTGTGGAAAGATAAAGTACATATGGCACAGAATGAGATGCGCAATTTCATAAGGAAACTGTACAGCACAGAAAAGGGGGCCTCTGTCTGTTTTTATTCCCTATCCCATTGTTGCAATTATCCAAAGTTGGCTTACAAGCCACTAAAAATAAAACGAGTTCTACTTCATGTGCATGAGGAAGTTCCAGTACCAGGGGCTTGCCAGCCCCATTTTGCCATACCGTGGCCAGGACGGCAGGGTCAGAATCCCCACACACCCAGGGTCTCGAAGCAGCTTCTGTGTCACCTGCAATTTGCTTCTGCTCAGTGGTCAGAATTCTCAGTCTGATTCAAATCCGATCTGATCCAACTTGCAGTCTTTCTGCTCTCACTTTTCTTGTTTGCTCTATGGACCCCAAATGGGCCCACTCTTGCACCTGTATTTGCTATGAGTCTTCTGATTTGCCTCCCTTTTGCTTCTGGGTCCTGTACCAAGCTTGGCTTCGCCAACACCAGGCATGGACGAAAGATGAGCTGTCACCAGGTTCATGCTCCTTCCTGAGTTCTTCATCAGGAAGCACCTTCCAAGGGAAGGGGAGGGACCCCTTTCTACTCACTTCCATGCTATGGCCCAGAACAGCCGCAGACCCTTGGAGAATCCAGGGGACGGGCACCAGAAGCAGCAGGCTTTATTCAGGAGCATGCAAGCCCTCTTAAAATGTTTCCAAAGGAAAACAGCCATACAATATATTTTAAAACAGACACGGAGGAAGGAAACGGTCCTGTGATGAGCACACAAGGGGTGACTCACGTGTGTCCACCGTCTCCTGGATGGGGATGAAGCCCACAGGCAGCGTGTCCTTGATGTCAATGAGCTTCATGTCCACTAGCACATTCCCTAGATGACTCTTGGGAAGAAAGGAAAGAGACACAGACTATTAATCTGAACATGCCCACAGCGGGTTTGCATTCTGCCTTCAAGATTCATATTTAACACAATGACTCACACAGCTTTACTACTAGGGCAGGTTAATTAGAGTAGTTGACACTTCCTGTTCCCCAGCGGTTACACAGGGACTTGAGTGGCCCCCGGGAAGGAGTTTCATCTGCAGAACCTCAAAGCCACTCACTCAAATGTGGCCTTTGTGAGCTGGATAAACAACCCAGCAGAGGGCAGCTGTGAACGCATGTCCCCAGACCCGGCTGCCACTCAGTCCCAAGGGCCAGTATCCCAGGGCCAGTAGGTTTTAGAAACAGCAGATTTCTGGGACACTTGCACCGGGGAATTGCATCTAAACCACCAGCGACCAATCACACTCTTAAGTGACCATTGCTCTGCATGCCGACACTCATTCTGGTGGCTACATATGCTTTGGAAAATCCCAAGAACCATAAACTAATGCAGAGTGAAGGCTGGGCTGCCTCAGTATTACCCATCTTTTAAAACGACACGCACAAGGCCTCTTAAGGCTCCTATTTAGTGGTAGTATATGGGGTCCACGGTGCACAGTTTCTGTAACCAGTATAAAAACAGCTTTTGAAGACAGCGCACCACCATTCTGTAATTGCAAGAGAGAATTCTTTGTGAGCACAACAGCACTTGCAGCCTGCATTTCACATTGGAAACAGCCTGAAGAAATCCGCCCTCTAATGTAAATACACGGAGCCACCATGGAGATTTCATTAACGTCTTCAGAGTTGTCTGCAGCCTAGTTCTGCCGTCTCTAGTCAGAGCCAGTTAAGGAAAGAATGATGGATTCTCATCCCAAATCTCTCCGGCTAGGATATTAGCGCCGCACTCCACACACCCATTCTCCAGAAGGCCTCGTTCCTGAAGCGTGCACAGGGCCTTGGCTTTCACACTTGTCTACAGCCCTGCACAAGCACTAGAGGGTCAGCCCGTCACTCTGCCCCCGAGGCCACCTCTCAGGTTGCCGTTCCCACTCCTCAGAGACAGGCTCCTACCTCCACCTCTGTGCACGCGGCGCTGAGACCCCACCTCCCCTGGGTGGTGCTGACATCTCTGAGAGCAAGCAGGGAGTTCTCACCGGGTACACTAAGCCGCCCTCTCACCGGGCACTCCCTGGTTTCCTTCAGGTCCATGTATAATCGTATATCGATAAGGTTATTTGTTTACTATCTGACTCTGCATAAAGCTTAAGAACCATGAGGACCAAAATTATCTCTGCTCCCACTAAAAACCCAAGCCTGACCCTGTTCTTGCCCCATGGCAGGTGCTCAACAATTATTTGCTGAATAAACTAACATTTTAGGCACATTTTTCAATGGGATGGTCTCTGAGAATCAGAAATCAAATCAGATTTGCTTGTATGGCAAATCTAAACCATATCATAAAAATCCTGAAAACATGTTTCATAAATACGTTATGAATCCAAAGTGCACAAATGAGATCACTTCTTCAAATTGAAACAGGAAGGTCAAAGTGGCGAGTGTGACCTCCAGCTGTGCTTTCACGGCCCGGCCGTCACAAAACTGTTTCTTTCTCCCAGAACTCTGCTATTTGCCAACAATTTCCTATTATCACATCTCAGGCGCTGGGTCTCCGGAAGACAATGTACAGCCCAGCAAGTGGAAGTGGAACCCTCTCTAACGTGGAATAAATCTCTGTTCTCGCGGGGAGGGTTTGAACCGTTAACCTGACTGGCAAACATCAGCTGCTTTCACAATCGCCTGATCTAATCTATCACAATTTTTTTTCATAGCAGTTGCTTTTCCATGTCATCGCTGCTTTCTGCATTGAGAAATTAACAACTGGGCATGTTTTGCTGCCCCGTAGATGGATGGGCATTCATCAATATCCTTCTCAAATGTCTTCTGCTTGACAAGTTGGGTTTCCCACAAGTCAACTGCAAACCACTTAGCGATCTCACCCTCCACACTCGCTGCAAACGTCCTGATCATGAAACCAGAGAGAGCATCAGTGGGGCGGCCATGAAGAGAAGCACGGGCAAACCCGCCCCTGCACACAGAACGGGAGGCTGCGCCGTCGAAGCTTCCCGCCGCCCAAGGGTGGCCCTCCTCGAGCGAGCGGGGCTGCCGCCGCGCAGTGTAACCGGCAGGTCTGCGACACCATTAATTTTGCGTGTTCCTCTCCCCTCCCCCACCCGTGCTCGCTTTCATTTCCTCCTCATAAATATGAAGAACGTATTCCCAATCCTTGTTGAGCAAATGATTCATGCCAAAAGCCCAATATGCACTGACTCAGGGTATTTATTTTGTCTCTGGTAGCCAGTATTTGCTAGTATACTGTAATTATTTTTGACAACCTTGCATTTAAGGTAGCCACAGATAACCAACTTAATATTCAAATGTTCATAAATCCTTCTGTTTAATATCCTCCCTACCTAATCTATGTACATTATTATTACAGGTAATGCAGAAAGTACAGGGCATGAAAAGTGCAATTAATCTCGATCCTTCCCCAGGAAGCAATGTCACTCCAAAGCCAGGTTTCTGTACTAATAGCATTATTGGGGGAAAGGAATTTAGGTTCCAGAGGAGGCTCCCCAAACTCCTACGTTGGGAGTCTCAAGTTGCCTAATTAAGAGTCCTCCCAGTCTTGAGATCCCACACCCTCCCTCACAAATGTAAAAATTATGTTCTGCAAAGCTTTGATCCAGACTGCAGGGCTGGGACAGACCCAGCTGCCAAGGATGAAAAGAAGCCCCATTCCTGTGTCACTCTCAGGATTGCAAGTGGGCGCGATACCCCTCTGATCTGACCCTAAATCAAATTCAATCCTCTGGCCTGATGGTTTGGATCCCATGTGGGACTCATTCATTCTTCTCTTCAAAAACTCTCGTCACTTGGCTTGAGAGTGAGGTGGGGTGACTCCCACTGCCCCTGCCCTTTTCCTTCTTGCATCCCTTCATGCCACCCCACACAGGGCTGTTTTGCGTCTACAACTGACAGCAAGCTCAGGCACAGGGCAAACAGTCTAGCTAAGCCCCACCTTCCCAGTACCGTACTAAAAAGACTTCCTACGCTTAGCACCTAGACTTTGTCTGATCCCACAGACACCACACTTCACAAGCAAATATACTGCTTCATAATTACGTGGAAAAAATTAAAGCAGCAACTTTTCCCCTAGTCTTGGGCACATTAGGAAAAAGTCTCCTCATATAGTATCGTCAACAAACAGCAGGAATGGGTGGCAGAGGCGGGCAGGCCAGAGGTCCACATTCAGCAAACATGGTGGGGACCCATGACAGGACCCTGGTCAGGGGCTGTGGTGGAGAGGAAGACATCGCCCTTTTCAGGCTTCCACATAAGGGTGTGTGAAGCTGTTGTTTTGGTCTGCTTTTTCTCTTTTAATTTTAAAATCATTATTAGCCCATGGTTGCAGTACATAATGATGCCATTCACGGGGGGAGTTAGTACAATTACATATCACATCTTAATTGTCTTTACCCCCCTTTCCTCTCCCCTCCCTGCCCCTTCCTCTATCTCTTGGTCACTTTTTTTTTTTAATCATAGATATAACACATTTTAAGAATTGGTAAAAACATTTCAAAAATAAATATTGTACTGGAAAGAGATGAAAACATCTAAACCAACAATAAAATATCCCCCTTAAAAATGAACATCTAACTATTTCCAAAATATTTGGGGTCAGAGAAGACAAGGGACTCGGTCAAGGCTTAAACTCTCGAATCTCAGTGCTGAAACTGGAAAGTGGGTAATGTTGGGAGCCACTGTCTAAGGAGAGATAGACTTAGATTTGCAGAGTGCCCAGGGCTGCCTATGCAGGGTGGGAGAGCACTAAAGCTACTTCCTTTTTCTCTAAGCCACCCACTAAAATGCCTTACTAGGAAAGCCTTAGTAGATGTCTTCAAAGTTGCCTAATGTATGGGCTCAGTTACTAAAAAACAGCCCATCAAGAAATGTGCACATATACTTACCTATAAAAATAATGAAATGTCTTTTCACACAGAGACAAAAAAGAGTCAGAGAGAAAAAAAAAAGTCCTCTTGGAAACAAGGCCAGGTCTGGGGCTGGGGGTGGGGTGAGTGTGTGTGAGTGTGTGTATGTGTGTGCATGTACGTGTGTGTATGTGTGTGATGTGAGTCCTTTCATCGAGGCTGCTATTAGCTGGCTGGCATTAAATCCACCTCCACTGGATGACTCTCACATCCATATTGGTCCGCGATTTGTCACTTGGAGGAAAGACAGGCAAATGAGAGCTGGGAGAGAAATTTCCTGGTTTCCTTTTGAGAACACATGTTAATGGAATTCACTGTACACTTGGGTACGTGGTTAATAACACTGTTAATAAATGAAACACAGCGCTGGCTGCTGATTCTACTGAGTTCACTAAAACCATAGATAAATTAACAAGCCAATGAAAATAAACCACAACAAAAAAAATAAGGAAATTCCAAGCAGGAATGTAAATTACAGCTGCTCACTCAGCAAATGGAAACTACCCCTAGACTTACATTTTCTTTGGAAAACGATCTTGTGAAACACAGGTATCTCGTAACCTTGGACTTGAATAAGCCGTCTTTCCAGAGGTCAGCGTCCACACCATCTGCCGTCTGTGCAACCTGCACCAGGGAGACAAGATCGCAGGTAAGACAAGACGGAACTGAAGGCGTGTGCACTGCTCCCCTCTGTACCTGCTCCAATTAACACTGGCCGAACTCTCACGGCATCTCATTACTTCGTTTCACCAGGCACAGGGAAGAGAGTTTCCAAAAGGGAAAAAGGGAGTGTGAAAAATTCAACTTCTAAAAATAATGTCCCTGGGGAAGCCATTGATTAAAGGCATCCTGACAAAAATGGTCCTAATGAGAAAAGAGCAACTTTTGTTGAAACGGACCAAGAAGGGACTGGGAAGTCAGCAGCACATCAGGTTGCTCGTTACCACACACTCGGGGGATGGCACTGGGCACAGAGGAAGGCCCAATGGGGCGTGAAATGCACCTGAGGGGCGCTGCCTGTGGGGGACTGACAAGGCCGCTGGCCTGGCGTGGCCTGCCGGGCACTTCCGCCAAGGGGTCCAGGAGGAAGCAGTTTAGGAAAACTCACTCCACACTGTGTCTCACACTGCCCCATCTTCTCGCTACAGGTCCTGAAAGTGGAATTTGAGGTCAGAAACTGCCTCATGGTGGAACAATAAAAGCACTCAGTTCCCTGATTCTGGCCTCACTAGGAAGCTGTTTTCTCACATCCAGCTGTGGAAATTCTCCTCCAGGAAATGTCCAGGGGTAAAGCCGGTATTGCTCTGCACGACTGGACTGGACTGGGGTGCTGGCGTGATCATGTCCATGCTGAGCTTTCTAGGATGACTGGAGGGAGGAACAGAGCACCAGAGGAGCCTGCTATTTTATGCGTTCTCACCCAGAAACCCAATGTGACAACATCGCAGCACAGGGTGGCAAGAGATCAATCTTCCACACAGCCCGTAAAGGGAAGGCCAGCTCCACATTTCAGGACACATCAGAAGGGGTCATCGACTGTCTGCTTTTGGACTGCTTTTGGGTTGTCCTTTTGAGGCTTTCCCTGGGTCCACACCTCAATCCAACAAACTGCTGAGAGCGGCACCACTCTTTACCTAAGGCCGCTGAGATCCGGCCCCACCCCATGCACACTGAACACAGGCACCGCTCTGCCTGTCAACATTCTCCAACCCTGACACGCACGGGATGTGGCTGCAGGGGCTCCCTGGGATACGCATGGAGCCTACATTCTCTGAGGCTGCTGCAGAGAAGCCGAAAAAATAGCTGGCACAAGAAAAAAAAAATGCTTGTTTTTTTCAAACAGAACAACTGTAAATTAACAAATATAAGAACCAGGAAAAGAGACCCTTGCGCTGAATATGCAAATCTCTTTGCCCTGAAAGCTGAAGGAGGATGGTATAGGGATATTTTTAGGAGCTGTTTGCTCCAACTCTGTGTGTTGTGACCCCCACGCCCCACAGGAAGGGGTGAGGCTGTGTCACAGAGTTTTCCCCATAAGAAGCCCACATCAAGATTCCAGGTAAGTGTGAGACTGCAGGCTGTGCTCTCAGCCTCTGCTCCTTGCCTTCGCCCTGCGACAGATGGACCCAGATGCCTCTGCCATCCAGACACGTGAAGGTCCCCACCCCACGTTAACCATCTTCATACAACTGGCACAGTGTGAAGAGGGCCAGGAAGGCTGGCACAGGCAGGGGCATGGGATGGAGAACTAAAGATCCAGCGAGGAAGAGACAGCATGGCATCCTGAGGCAGACCCGAACCGGGAGTCCTGTGTGCGCCTGTGTAGCGTGGACCTGTTTTCCTGCTGGGTCACTACTGGGCTAGAGGTGATGCAACACACACAAGTGCCCCACAGAGCACTTGCAAAGACAGCCCAGAGCTTCTAAGCTGAGCACGAGGACATGTGGTTAGACATCAAACTGGGTGTCCAGAGCGATGTCATGAACGTCAGGACTCACAAAGCCCTAAAATGTCCCATGGGGCGCAGCTCCCACCCACAGTCCTCTGAGATGCCTTCCCCATCTCTGGCCTCAATCTGGTCTTCAGAGGCAAACAATAGCTGTGTATGAGAGGTGCTTTCCTCCCCCGGCCATCTGGCCTGGATTAGCAGCATCACCAGACCAGGCCAAAGCCTCCTCTGCTTCCTGTTTTATCAAACCCTGCACCAAGCACAGTGCCTGACACAGGTGGGCTCAATCAGAGAAAAACAGAAGAAGCCACATACGCTGTAGTTACCCAGGTGAGGTACTACGGACGTTTTTAAATGAAGCATCCAAGACTGAACCCATCGAGCTGAGCAGAACACCTGGACCTCTTTAATCCCCAGGCTCCCCTCCCTCCACTCCCAAACTGCCACTCTCTGAGGTACGTACTCATTTTAATACCCAGGTCACCCTGTGCTTCTGGTTGGCTTGCCTGTCCCCTGCCTTGTTCTAACAATTTGCCATGTTTCACAGGGCAGCTGATCACAGTGCCTCTAGAGCCTGTGATGACACCCACCCTCCCTCTCTCTCTCTCTCTCTCTCTCTCTCTCTCATGTGCACAACCTCCCTCTCTTTCCAGCCTTCCCAGAGTGCAGGAGTGGGTGGCCCAATAACCAGGGCAGTGGCAGATCTCTCTGGTGCCAGTATTCCTCTAACATGGTAAGTAACTAAAATAAGAGCAAGAGAGGAATGAAACACAAGAGAGATGCCAACAAGAGCCTGGAGCTGAACAAAGTGGGATTTAACAAGGGGCAGGGGCTATAATCTAAGGGCCTTTGGAGGCCAGTGTGGAGGAGGCTGACTCATCCCTCAGGGGCGGAACAGGGTTGGGGGAAGAGTGTGAGTTTAGGTTTGAAGTGGGTGGTCCAGAATAAGGTCCATAAACACAGCAGAGAGACTCCCAGATCCCGCAGTCATCTCAGGGGTATTTCTGCAGAAAGGGTGCTGGTGAGGCTCAGGAAGCCAGAGGGAAGGAAGGTGGGCAAGGAGCTGGAGGAGAGGGTGCACAGGAGAGGCTGCCTCCCCCACCCCAGCTCACCCTTCCTCTGCTTCCAGATGTGTCTCCCAACACTGCACAGGAAGGGCTTGTCTCTGCAGACACGGAGCAGTGCGTGAGGATCCCACACAGACAGGGGTGCTCTGCCGCACACCTGCCAACAGGCTAGCCCACCAGGAGCTCCAACCAGGAGCCAGTGCCTCGCTTCTAGGTATCAACCAACAAAGGATCTGGCTCGGGGGGTCTGCAACACGAGTGAGCACTGGATAGGAAAAGGGAGCTTGAGGGCAGCACAGATGACTGGCGGAAACCAAGAAAGCTAAAGAACAGCCAAGCCTATGATCAAAGTGGACTCTGCAAAGAACAAACAAGAGCGGAACATGGTGAAAACTCTTGCGAAGAAGCAGTATACACAGATTAGAGGCTAAAAATGTTAGCACTAAAATTAAAAATTCAAAGATAGTTGAGGAAACTTTCTAGAAGGTAAAATACAAAGATGAAGAGGTAAACTATAGTAAATAAAAAAAAAAACTAAGAAAATGCAAGAAGCAATACAACATCCAACTAGCCAACAATTCAAAGAGCGAAATACAGATGGAGCAGATCTGGGGGCTGCGCAGGAAGGAGGTGTGACTATTCCAGCTCAGGGAACGAAGGCAAAGGACCCGCCCAGAAGCAGAACAACAGAGTCCCGCCACACTGATAACCTGCAGAGGGAAGGAACAGGTCCTTATCAAGGAAGCGGAATCAGGCTTCTCAGTGGCAAAGGAGAAATAGAAGAAAAGAGGGTGACAGCCTCAAAAATTCTGAGGAATGCTGGAATTCTACATCTAAACCAAAGGTCAACTAAGCGCAAAAGTGAGAGGCGAGGGAGGTGAGGGAGACATTTGTAGACGGAGAGGGCTTGAAGAGTCTACCTCCAGGGGCCCCTTCTTAGGAAGCTACTCCAGAACACACCAGCAGAAGTGGGGATTAAGTACGGAAGGAGGAAGCCGTCAGCTCCAGAGGCAGCCCGGGAGTGAGATGACTGCTCCAGGCCTTTCGGGGGGAGAGAAGGTCCTGGCCCACCATGCGATGGGACCAAGATGATCCCGCACTCAAGCACTTAGAAGAAATGGGAGGCGGGGGACTAACGTGTTGGAGCTTTCAGAAAAAAGTGAAAATAATGGGTATAAACCTACTTTTAAAAATAATTTATTAATTTAAAAATTAAAAAAATTTCAAAAGTATAATTAAACAAATCTATAGACACCCAGACAACTAGGTATATGAAAGAATTTTAATTCAAGAAAAAACGAAAGGTGGTACCAAAAAAAAGGAAATATACTTCTCATATATTACTTGATTTGGTGGTATCCAGTGATTATGCTGTCACAGAATGTAAAACGTTCAGCACTACTTTACCAAAAATCTGTGCTGCTGCCTCATGGGTGAGGTTATAAAAGGATGAAATGCCCAGAAGAGCCACGTAAATCAGGAAATCAGTAGTCCAGACAGGCGTGGTGGTGCATGGCTGTAATTCTGGCACTTGGGAAGCTGAGGCAGGAGGGTTGCAAGTTAAAGGCCACCCTGGGCTACACAGTGAGACCCTGTCTCCAAAAAAAGGAAAGAAAGAAGTAGCACAATGACATCATTAAAAAATATGGAGATAAAGAGAGGGGGAATCTAAGAGTTGAAAGCAATGCCTCTAGGAAGTGGGAATGGGGGTTGGCGAGGGAGACTGATCTTTCCTCGCAAGCCTCTCGGTGCTGATTTTTAAACAGCATGTACTTACACATCGCTTTGTTAAAATAAATGCACATTTTACTATTAAAGAGTCAGAGAGTTGAGGAAATGCTCATGTGTAGAAGACAATGAGATGCACGATTCCTTTCACACAAACACCCGTGTGGCACCTAGCATGGCAAGGTGACTGCGTCCCCAGGGAGTGCCTCAGTGTCCCCAAGCAGGTGACCCTGCCTGGAGCGGCACCTGCAGCTAACCCCAGCCTTCCCCAGGCTAGCATCAGCCAGGAGTTAACTTTAGAGGCCCCGCGGGGGAGCTGAAGCTCAAGGGGGGTCTCTGGGAGCGAGGCAGCAGCTGTCCACTGCCGCAGCACCAATTGG